ACTGAGACTATGGCCCCTAGCTACCCTTCAGGTCTGGAATTGAACCCACACCTGTGGTTTCCAGCCAAACAAAGTACAGGCATGTGAGTTGAACATTTACCTCAAGTAGACACACGCCCTCGAGAGAACAATCATGGGAGAAGGAAGGGCAGCTTATGCACAGGAAGACAGCTTAGGGGGCAGGAGAGTATGGAGGGATGGACACTGGGAAGTGGTACCATGGGGAGGAAGTTGGAGGGGAGCTGTTGCATTGTGGTAAACTCTGGTCAATGACATGAGACAAAGTATATGTGAACTGCTGTATTGAGAGTGAATTTGCTCTGTAAATCTTCACCTAAATCACAATAAAAAAAAAATTAAAAAAAAAAAGAAGGGTACTGTCCTGTGCTCCTGTTTACTAGTTGACAGCACTTACACACTTACCACCTGTCTCCTTTCCCGTTGTTAGCCTCCTCTATGTCCTTGCTGTCCTTGGCAAACAAAGCCTATTCTTAGGTCCCTGGAATCTGAATGAGAATGCTGTCACTTTGAAATCCAAATGGCCACCACTTGTAAAGATTCAAAATGGCTGCACCCTTGGTCATTTTAAATATCCAAAATGGCTGTCCTTATAAACATTCAAAATGGCTGTGCCCTCAGTCACATTATACATCAAAAATGGCCACTGACTGTAAATATTTAAAATGGCTACAGCCTCGGTCACTTTAAATATCCAAAATGGCTGCACCCTCCAGACAGCGGAAAGTCTACAGTTCTGGTTGTCTCCCTCCTTGCTGTTTCCCTTCCTAGTCATAGGCCACCAGCACAGTCATCCCGGCAGCCCTTGGTGACCAAGGCTGATCTTTAGGTCAATTCTCAGGTCCCAAGACCACTTGGAAATAATCAGGTTGTTGGTCCCATCAGAATAGCTGACAGTCCACTGCCTTGACCATCTCCATAGTCACTGTTTTCATTCAGGTTTTTCCACTAGTTGGTGCATAATCCACTTCTGTATACTTCCTTTCAAAGCTCAGGGCTCCAGGATTATCTTCTGTGTCTCTGTCAATTGGTTTCTCTTTTCTTTGTTGTAGCTTGTCTGCCTATTCCTCCATCTTACCCGAAGTCCTTTTGCCCTTTCTTTCTTAAAAAAAAAAAAAAAAAAATGGAATGGGGTAGAGGGTGGACTGTAGACATCTGCATGTTTTATCCCCCCAGTTCATAAAATATTTTGCTACACACGGCACAATCTCAAGTCAATGTGCTTGAGTTTGAATCCATCTCCATCATCTGTTGGCCATGTGTACTTGGGGAAGTCACATAAACTTTCTGTGCTTCTATTTCCACCTCTGTACAATGAGGGTATTACTGAATATACCTCTTAGTGCTTTTGTAATAAAGATTAAAAAGACAGAATATATAGTAAAGTTTCTAAAACTACTTGGCTGTACACAGTAGGTGCTCAGCAACTGATAGTCTTTATTTTTCTATTGTCAATGTAGTAAATAAAAACATTTGTTCCTCTACTGTCTGTGGACATTAAGATAAAACAACAATTTTAGGAGAAGGCTGATTCTTTTTTTGTACCTGTAATTCTGTAAAATGTTTTTAAACCTATACTGCTAACCAAAACTCTGGTAGTATACTGCCTAAGACACTTGACTGCTAACCAGAAGGCTGGCAGTTCAAACCCACCAGCCACTCCTCGGAAGGAAGATTGGGCAATCTACTTTCGTAGTGATACCACCTCGGAAACCCAAGGAGGGGTTGCTAAGAGTCGGGTCTGACTCGATGGCACAACACAACAACAACAAAACTTCTCTTGAAAAAAATATTTCTCATCGTGACTTAGTTTTACGCATGTAACTAGGTGTTCTAAATAATACAGCAAACCAATTGCATTCAATTTCATTTTGAGGAAGCAAACACTGGAGGGAGTCAGGATGTTTTCTTCTCTTGCTGCTTCTATTTACGTATCTTTTCAACAATAACAACACTGCCGACCCACTTTCACTATCTAGTATTACAGTCACCTAGGAGGATGCTCTTATTCAATAAATATCAGGTATCTACTCAAAACCATATAAATTAATAGAAAAATTATTCCACACAAGGTAAATTATATTACCAATTCACTGTATTTATAGTATATTTTAATATTGTTGTCTTGACAAATAATTAGGAGACAAGCTGAACATGCACTGAATACAAAATTAAATAAAACTATTTCTAATAAAATATGCATCTCTTCAATATACAATGTTTTTAATAAAAATCTTTTTTCTAAATCCCCTGACAAGTAAAAATATACTTATAAAAAAAAGGTAAAAGACACTTATTAGAATGAAATATTAAATATACAGCTAAAAATGAAACTACTCAGAATTTTGGCATGTCAAGTAAAAGCCTTCTTTTCAAAAAATGCTGGCTATTTATTTTACTTTTTAACAAAAAATGAATATAAATGAATTGGGTAACTACTCTGAGAAAAATCGGCTTAACAAAGCCAAAGAAAATTATATCTGTTTCAAGAGAGAAACCAAACTTGTTACTTTTTTGTTTTGCCAGCATTTCAGATGAATGAATAATTCTGTGGATTAAAATTATAAGAAGACATTTTTAAAAAATTAGGTTGCATGAATCATCTGGGAAGATGAGTAATGTCTTCAGCTTGTGTTGGCACCTTGTGATGCCATTTTAACTTTAAAAGCTATTCCAGAAGAATGGAGATACAAAGTCAAATAAGTACATATACTTATCAGCCATGATGTTTAAAACAAAATCCAAGTTAACATTATTGGGGGAAGGGAAATGGAGAGGAGAAAGGAAAACAGAAGACGTTACCTGAACATGGGTTAACCAATTTTACAAACATAAGCCCACTTTCCATCTTCTTTGAAGCATCTTTCAGATAGTCTGAAAAGAAATGGTGAATTTGCAAAATTAAAAGACATCTGCTTTGTTGCTCATCTTATTTCTTTTACCTATTTTAATTTCTTCCACTTACATGATTTTTCTTTCTAAAACTTATAATTCAGTCCTAACGCTTACGAGCTGTGTGATCTTGAGCAAATTACCAATCATTCATGGTAAAATTTCAGGTAGCTTTAGTGTAGTACTTTGAGAAGTGATGAAGACCAGAGCTCTTGAGTCAGATGCCTGGGTTATAACCTTGTTTCAACCCTTGATGGCTTTGTCACTTGGGGCAAGTCCCCTGACCTCCTGTCTCAGTTGCCAGATTTATAAAATAGATAACAATATACTTGCCTTTCAAAGGATTTAATTAGCTAATCTGTTGAAAGCTCTCAACACAATCAGGAAAAAAAAAAAACATATAATAAATCAGAGCTAATGTCACTAACATTATTGTTTTTATTGCTACTATTACTATGAAGTAGATTTTTTTAAAAATAAATGTTTACCAGTCATTTATAATTTTGTCCCTGTGATTACCTAATCATATCCTTCGTCCATCTTTCCAATGGGGTGCTCAACTTTATTTTACTACTTTATGAGAAGTCTTTACATCAACTCATCAACTGCTTTTAAGTCTATTTATGATTTTTTGCCATAGGAAAGAAATAAAATCTTTGTGTAACCATATCTAACTTTTCCACAATTTGTACCTTTTGCGTCTTTCAGAAAGACCTTCAAGATTATGAATTAATTACCTATATTTTCTTCTAAGGTTTTTAGATCTTTAACCAGTCTGGAATGTATCTAGTTATAATACGTGGAGAAGAGATCTACTTTTAATAATTTTTCTGAGTTCATCTGTTGTGCTGGGGTTACTGAATAACCTATCACTGAAATGTCACATTTAGCTAAATACATAAACTGTATTTATGAGTCTGTCTATGGACAATCGTTATCCACTAATCTGTGTCTGAAGGAGTCCTAGTGGCACAGTGGTTAAGCACTTAGCTGCTAACCAAAGGTCGGCAGTTCTACCCAGCAGCTCTGTGGGAGAAGAAACCTGGCAAACTACTCCTGTTAAGATTATAGCCTAGAAAACCCTATGAAAATAGTTCTATTCTGTCACATGGAGTCGTGACTCCAAATGGACCTAGTGGCACCTAACAATAGCAATCTGTGTCTGCATTAACATCTGTACCCCAATATTTTAATTACTGTATCTTTATGTTGGGTGGATGGTCTGCCTCTGTGTTTCTCATCTGGAATATTCTCTGATACAGAAGTTGGAATTGGGTCTTTCTCACTCTCAGTCCTTTCTCCTTATCAGAGAAGCCTTCCTTTCTGTTCTGGGCACACAATAACTTTGTCTCGTGCTCATCCATGGGCACCACATGGCACCTAACCAACCTCCCTTCAGCAGGGAGGGTATGGGGTCTTCCAGTCTACTGCACACGGCTTGCTGGCCCTGGGATACCCATGTCCCCAAAGGAAGTTGATCTCTGGTTCTTCTTTTTGAGTAAAATGTTATCCCATGCACTAATATAACACGTGGGGACCCTGAACCTAGGTACAACACTTTAAAATACATTTTAATATCTGGTAAGGTAAGTCTCCTTATTATGTTTCTTATACAATAATTAAGGAGGTCTACTGGCACAGTAGGAGCTCTGGTAGCATAGTGCCTAAGGCACTTGACTGCTAACCAGAAGGCTGGCAGTTCAAACCCACCAGCCACTCCTTGGAATGTTGGGCAATCTACTTCCGTAGTGATACTGCCTCGGCAACCCAAGGAGGGGTTGCTATCAGTCAGGGCTGACTCTTGACAGCACACAACAACAACAACAACAGTGGTGGCGTGGTTCCTGCGTTTTTTTGCTGCTCAGCAGGTTGTTGGTTGTTGCTCCTGATGCGCTGCTCGGCGGACGGAAGATTGGGCAATCTACTTCCGTAAAGATTTACTGCCTTGGAAACCCAATGGGGGTTGTTGTGAGTTGAAATCGACTCAGTGGCAGTGAGTTCGGTTTGGTATACAATAATTGACTGTCAAAGTTTTAACATGTAGATTAAAACATTTTTCCATGACAATTTTATTGATAATATATCTTCATGTGTTTTGAATGGCACATTTATAACCAAAAAAAAATTTTTTTTTAATCTTCATGTGTTTTGAATGGCACATTTATAGAAGTCATTTAAGAAGTCTCTCTCTAAAAGGAACAAAGGAGCTTTAGTTAATAAAGGAGTACAGTGACAGTCTACCAAAAAGCAAAACAGAAAACTTCAGAAGAAGGAAGGGGTTTCACCCTCCCTTATTCTCTGTGGCTCTCACTCCCTTCCTTCACCTCAGTTCATAAAGTTGAAACATAGCAAGCATGTGTAGAAATTGGTTTATTCATAAATGGTTAAAATATTTTTCTTAAACTAAACGTGACATTAAATATGTCAAGGGAAAATAGCCCGTTAATTAGTGAACTGAGATAGAGTGCTACTGGCCATGCTGAATCAGATAAACATACCGTCTGCTATGCAGGAATGAAAAATTGAAGAGGAAAGCCTCATATTCCAAGATCTATCCTGAAGTACAATGCTGTCAGTGATAGGATAATATCCATATGCATACAAGGAAGACAAGTTAATGTGACTATTATTCAAATTTACACACCAATCTCTAAAGCCAAAGATGAATAAAGTGAAAATTTTTATTAACTTCTGATGTCTGAAATTACTCAAATATGCAATCAAGGTTTATTGGTAATTATTAGTGATTAAAATATGAAAGCTGGAAACAATAAAGAAACATCACTAGTTGGAAAATATCATCTTGGTGACAGAAACAACATGGGAGATCGCATGATTGAAACTTCCAACACCAACCCTTCCTCATTGCAAATACTTTTCTTCAACAACATAAGCAATAGCTATAAACATGGGGCATGCTGACAGAATATACAGGAAGCAAACAGACTACATTTGTGGAAAGACACTATGGAGAAGCTCAATATCATCAGTCAGAAGAAGGCAAGGGGCTGACTGAAGAACAGATCATCACTTGCTCATATAAAATTCAAGCTTAAGTTGAAGAAAATTAAAACAAGTCCAAGAGAGACAAAATAGGACCCTGAATATATCCCATCTGAATTTAGAGACCATCTCAAGAAAATATTTGATGCATCAAACACTAATGACTGAAGATCTGACGAGTTGTGGGATGACATGAAGGACATCATACATGAAGAAAACAAAAGGTCACTAAAAAGACTGGTAAGAAAGAAAAGAGCAAAATGGATGTTAGAAGAGACTGAAACTGCTCTTGAACATACAGTAAATACAGCTAAAGGAAGAAATGAAGTAAAAGAATTGAACAGAAAATTTCAAAGGGTGGCTAGAAAATAAAAAGTATTATAATGAGGAGCTCTGGTAGCATAGTGGATAAAGCACTTGACTGCTAACCAGAAGGCTGGTGGTTCAAACCCACCAGCCACTCCTCGGAAGGAAGGTTGGGCAATCCTACTTCCATAGTGATACTGCCTGGAAAACCCAAAGAGGGGTCGCTATGAGTTGGGGCCGACTTGACGGCACATAACAACAACAACAACAACATAATGAAATGTGTACAGACATGGAATTAGAGAACTAAAAGGGAAGAATATGCTTAGCATTTCTCAAGCTGTAAGAACTGAATAAAAAATTAAAGCCTTAACTTGCAATATTGAAGGGTTCTATGGGCAAAATACCAAACCAAAGATGAAAGCATCAAAAGAAGACAGAAGGAATACAGAGTCACTGTACCAAAAAGAACTGGTCGATATTCAACCATTTCAGGAGGTAGCATTGATCAAGAACTGGAAGTGTTTAAGGAAGAAGTCCTAGTTGTACTGAAGGCATTGGCACTGAAGGGATTGTACAGCAGAATGAAACACTACCCAGTCCTGTGCCAGCCTCATAATCCCTACTATACCCACCTCCATTGCTGCAGCCACCATGTCAATCCATCTTGTTGAGGGCTTTCCCCTCTTCCGTTGACCCTCCACTTTACCAAGCATGACATCTTTCTCCAGAGAAGGGTCCCTTCTGCCAACATAACCAAAATAGGTGAGACGAAGTCTAGCCATTCCTGCTTCCAAGGAACATTCCGGCTGCACTTCTTCTAGGACAGATTTGTTAGTTCTTTTAGCAGTCCATGATAAATGGAGAAAAGACTGGAGTTGTCAAGAATTTCATTTTACTTGGATTCACAATCCATGATCATGAAAGAAGCTGTCAGGAAATCAAATGACATACTGCATTGGGCAAACTGCTGTAAAAGATGTCTTTAAAGTGTCAAAAAGCAAAGATGTCACTCTGAGGACCAACATGCACCTGATTCAAGCCATGGTATTTTCAATCACCTCATAGGCATGTGAGAGTTGGACAATGAATAAGGAAGACACAGAAGAGCTGATGCCTTTGAATTATGCTTCTGGCAAAGAATACTAAATATAATATGGACTGCCAAAAGTATGAAGAAATCTATCTTGAAAGAAGTATTGATAGAATGCTCCTTGGAAGTGAGGATGGTGAGACTTTGTCTTATGTACTTTGGACATGTTATCAGAAGAGACCAGTCCCTTTAAGAAGGGTATCATGCTTGGTAAAGTGGAGGGTCAGTTAAAAAGAGGAAGACCCCCAACAAGTTGGGGGTTGAAACACTGGCTACAACAATGGGCTCAAATACAGCAAATACAGGTTATAAGGATGGCACTGTTTTGGTTTGTTTGTTTTTCTGTTGTATGTAGTGTCACTATGAGTCAGGATTGACTCAATGGCACATACTAACAGCAACAACAAGTTTGAGATATCCACTTCCAAACAAGATGGAGGGACAGAAACCCAATTTACCCTCCCACTGGAAATAACAAGAAAAAGCCATGAAGGGCAATGATCCCTGCTTGAACAATTTCTCTTAGAAAGATCAGCACAAGGCCGGTCCCCATGAGGTGGAGGTTAAAGATGTCCCAAAT